CTGTATAAAATGGCCCATGTGCCCCCAGTGGTATTCTCATCCCTCTTTCCTGTTCCATTTTCTTCATGGTGCATAGCACCACCTGATGTAGTATATATGTGTATGTGTCTACTGCCCATCTGTCTCCTTCCACTAGCGTGTAAGCTGCTCAGGCAGAGGCTTGTTCACCTCTGTATTCCCGTCACCTGGAGCACATCAGCCCTTCCTGTGTCCTTCGAGATCTTATTCTGTCAGTTCCCTCTTTTGCCTAAAGTTTTATCTTTCTTCTCTATTGGATAATTTCTTGTTGTCAGTAAGTATTTTCAGTCCTGTCTCCTCATCGAAAACAAACACAAACAACCTGCCCTCAACTCTGTACATTTGAATTATCAAGGCATTAGTTTCTCTGCTTCCTTGTGAGTTTCTGGAAAGAGTTGATGTGCGCTTACCCCGTGCCCCTCTCTCTGGTTTCTGCCTTGGTCCTCTGTACAAGGCTTCCGTCTTGGTGTGCTAGCACCCTGCTTCTGCAGAGCTCTGCGGGACGCTCTGACTGTGACAAGGAAGTAGGCCTTGTTTGGTTCCTTTTCTCACCTTACTTTTCTGTGGCATTGTACCGTGCTGATTATTTTTTTTTCCCTCCTGTAATTCTCCTTTCAGCCTTTTTGAAGTCCTCTTCTGAAGTCTTTTCTTATTCCTCTTTACTGATGATCTTTGCTGGTTCCTTCTCTGCCCCTTCCATAGGCGTGTCCCTTAGGGCTCCATCCTTCGCTGTCCCTGTGGCTTACTGTGAATCCTCCTTCCCACCGTGACTGCATCTCACCCATGCTTTTATCTACTGTTTTTGCACTCACGACTCCCAAATCTGTATCTTTTTTTTTTTTTTTAAGATTTTATTTATTTGAGAGAGAGAGAGTGTGTGTGCACGGGGCGGGGGGAGGGGAGGATCAGAGGGAGAGGGCGTGGGAGAATCTTAAGCAGACTCTGCACTGAGCACAGCCCGACAGGGGGCTCAACCTCATGACCCTGAGATCATGACCTGAGCTGAAATCAAGAGGACACTTACCCGACTGAGCCACCAAGGCACCCCTCCAATCTGTATCTTTTGTCCAGATTTTTCTCTTGTTTTTCAGGCTTGTATTTCCATCCCTCTCCTGGACCTGTCCTACTTGATGTCCCATGTCACATATTCAAAAGCATACACAGTATTAATTCTCTCCTTGGAACGACATAGCATAACAGTAGCAATTGCTTCTCCCCAGCTGCCCATCTTGGTCAGTGGCCCACCTGGTCATGTAAGGCAGACTCTTGTGAGTCACCCCAGCTGCTCTCTGTGCTTGAATGCCGCCATGTCTGAGGGCACCAGCCTCTCTCTCACACAGCTCTTGTGAAGCCATTCTCTTGTCTTGGTTCTCATCGCCCCTGCCATAGTTTAGATGTTCCTCCTTTTCCCCCTTCATAGCACAGTCCTTAAAGCCTGTGCTCTGAAACCAGAATGGCATGGGTTCTGATTTTGGATCTGTCACGTATTAGTTATGTGACTTTGGTCAAGTTTTATAACTTCTCTGTGCCTCAGTTCCCTCATTAGTAAAATAGGGATAATAATACGTTGTGAGGATGAAATGTGTTAACAGATATCGAGTGTTTAAAATAATGCCTGACACTGTTCTAGCCACCCCCCCTTCTCTGGTCTGTTCTTCTAAAATGTTTTCTACTCTGCTACAGCATCAGCTTTCAGAAATGGACATCTGACCACATCATTCTCTTTTTAAAATCTGTGTGGCTTCTGATGGTCTGATCACCACTTCTATCCAGTTCGTCTCCATTGTTCCTTTTCCTTCACTCACTGCTACAGCTATATTCAGTAATCAGCAGTTTTCCAAATAAGATGTGATCATGCATGCTTTGGCATCTTTGTACTATTTCTTCTGCTTGAAGTGTTTTTCCTTACCAGTTTTATCTGCGAGTCTTCAGCGATCCTTCAAGACCATGTTTATTTTATTTTTTACATTCACTTCCCACTTTTTTTTAAGAGAGAGAGAGAGTGTGTATGTGTGTGTGAGTGGGGGAGATGGCAGAGGGAGAGAACCTCAAGCAGACTCCCTGCCAAGCATGCAGCATGACTTGGGGGCTCAGTCTCACAACCTGTGAGATTGTGACCTGAGCCGAAACCATGAGTCGGACACCCAACTGACTGAACCACCCAGGCGCTCCTCACTTCTCACTTTTTAACCAGTCACATCCATCAATTAACCAATCACAGCCAGTAGTTACTGAAAGCCAAGTATAATGGTGTTCTGGAAGATACAAGAAAATATAACATGCTCTTGAGGAGCATGCAATCTAGTAGGGGAACAGGACAGAGAGACTTGAAACAGCAAGGGACTGTCCCTCAGAATGCTAAGTAGAGCACACATAAGTAGAGCAGCATTTCAGAGAAGGGCAGAATCACTGCTCACAGATACAGGGGAGTGAATGGGGTGTTAGGGTGTTTAGAAAGGGTTCATGGAAGAGTGAGATTTGAGTTGGGCGTGGAAGGATGATAAGATCTGCATAGGTGGTGGGAGGGGGTGGATCTTGTGGCTCAGGGAACAAAAGGCACAGAGGTGGCAGTTGTCAAGCTGAGTGGAGGAAGCCTGATAAGAAAACGTGCATGTTGAGGAGTGCCGAGGTTACGAGGCCGTGTGGAATCATGGGGGTCTCCAGAGCCCGGAGCATCTTGAGGGACTGGTGTGTTGTAATGTTCTACCGTGTGCCAGGCCACACTGGAGCCTGATGCAAAGGGATAACTCAGCAACATTGATCTCATCTTCATTCAAAATTTTGATATTCTGTTCATCATGGATTTTTTTTTTTGGCATTTTGATTTTTTAAAATATTGCATTAAAACATTTATTTTGGTTACTGCATTTTTTGGCACCCCCTTAAATTTTGTGCCCGAGGTCATTTCCTCACTTACTTCGGCCCCAGTCCCAGTCCTGTGTTCTGGTTCTGAAATTCAGTAGAGGGGACATGGGTATTTACTTTATTGTTATTATTATTAATTGTGGCTTACTCATGTTATACATGTTTCTTGATTAGTAGACAGTATTTCATAAAAAGCAATTAAAGTAAATTAGGATTTTAAGAAGATTAATTTGGAACTTTGGAGCCTGAAAACCATGAAAGGGAAAATAATTGTGTTTCCGAGTCAATTGCTGGGGGACAATAACTTTCTTTTGCTGCAGTGCACGCAGTGCAAGCAAAAAGAGTTGTTTTGCTCATGTCTAAATGGGGGGAAGATCCCTGGAGGGTTGGGGTACTAGGGGCTGCTGTCCACTTGGAGACAGACATCAAGCAACTGAGTTGCTGCAGCCGGCGTGTTCTGCCTGAGGCAAGCTCCCACAAATGGGCCGCACAGGCTAGGCTTGGCCCCCATCTCACATAAAGGAAACCTGTCTAGCCCTGCTCAAGAAGCAGCTGCTCACTGGCCACAGTGCTTACACTGTGGACCATTACACGTGGGCCATGGCCCAAGAAGCGATGGAAGATTCATGAACTCTAAATTTTTCAGGGCTACCTGTATCCAGGAAAGAGGTGATGTTTGACACAAAGAGTATTACTAGTCCATCTAAAAATGTGAAATCTATTGTTCATTAGTACACTCGTGACTCACGGAGGATGATTTGGCGCCAGAGAAGTCAATGAGCATCAGCACAAATCTCAGAGAAGGGTGAGGGGAAGGTTGTAAGGGGCAGGCTGCACCCTGTGACTGCCCCCAGACGCCCTGCCCTGTCATTTCATGGGGACCAGCCACATATCCAGCATGAGCTGCTTCAGTCTCAGAGTAGACATTCTGGCACAATATGTAGAAGCCACAGGCTGCATTTTACCATCAGATGAGTGGGTGGTCACAGAAGATGGCTGCTTCCTGAGGCCTCGGACCATCATCTGCTCACCACACACCTGCTGGATCGCTGACCCCTCTTGTCGGCATAGCCAGCAAAGTTGTTCTTCAGAACTGAAGGAGAGATAAATGAGTTTTCCAGACAGACAAAAGCTGACAGAGTTCATCACCACTACAATGGCCTTACAAGAAATGTTAAAGGGAGTTCTTTTTTTTTTTTAAGATTTTATTTATTTGACAGAGAGAGAGACAGCCAGAGAGGGAACACAAGCAGGGGGAGTGGGAGAGGGAGAAGCAGGCTTCCCGCCGAGCAGGGAGCCCGATGCGGGGCTCGATCCCAGGACCCCAGGACCATGACCTGAGCCGAAGGCAGATGCCCAGCGACTGTGCCACCCAGGCGCCCCTAAAGGGAGTTCTTCAGGCTATTGAGCAAAACCCCTGAACAGGATGAAAACTTCTGTGCAAGAATTGCTTCTGGGAGAGGTATTAGAATGAATGGCCATCGTCAAGCTAGAACTCAGCCACTGCAGAGCCCTTACTGCTTAGAGCTACCTGGAGCCCACCTGGGGAAGAGTCATGCCGCCAAAGGATTTTCCTATAGTTGTCTTTATCGGTACTACACTTCAGTCTCGGTGAAACACTGGGACAGTGTCCAAGGCTACTGGGATCTTCAGAGTGCAGGTTCCTTCCCAGGGAGCAAATGTCTTAGAATCGTACCAGACCTCCTTTGATCCTGGCAGAAACATACCACATGAGAGCTTTAGGTTCTCTGACTGGATGAAGCAATAAAGCACTTCTTTTTAGGCAACTCTCTGTTGAGTCTGGCTTCTTGAGCCCTATCCTGAGATGCTGAGCTTCCATATTCCTTCAAGATCATGTTTAAACCTCCTCCAAGAACCTTGCCCTCTCCATGTATGGTTGGTCCCTCCCTTAACACTCCTCATGATGTATTTCAGTGTTACGGTTTCCATGTCCATCTGTTCCACAAGGCTGTGAACACTGTGGTGGTGGGGACTGTAGCCTTTGCAGGGTCTTGTACAGTGACTGGCCCAGAACAGATACTCTGTCAACATTGAATCGGTAATCAGGAGTTCAGAGTTTACTAAGATTTTTATACTTCTTCCTTCAATTTCTTCAGGCTGCAGGAATTAGTCGATCGAGTGCTGGAACGTTTTCAGGCATCTGGACTAATAGTGAAAGAGTGGAATAGTGTGAAACTCCATGCGACAGTGATGAACACTCTATTCAGGAAGGACCCCAATGGTAAGTCCCCCATAGAACTGTAGCATAGTTTAGGATCAGCAAGGCCTTGTGATATCCTTGGGGTTCGAACAAGACGGGCTATCAAAGAATCTCTGGTAATCTTTCTTTGAATCTTTAACTTGTTTTGATGAGCACGGTGGAAGTGGTGAGGGAGATATCTAGCGTGGGACCGTGACATTCCAGATCTTTGATTTCTGTTGCACATAGGGTTTCCAGATTTAGCAAAAAGAAATACAAAATGCCCAGGTAAATTTTAGGTAAACAGTGAATAATTATTTTAGTATAAGTGTGTCTCTTGGCGATACTTGGTGGCTTTTTGGAAAGAAGGAAGGAAGATTAGCTAATAAAAGTAAAGGTTAGGCCAGTGGTTCTCAACTAGGGGCAACTTTGTGCGCGCCACCCCTCCCCCTGCCCCAGGACATTCGGTTGTCACACTTAGGGGTTGAGGGTGCATTGCTGCTGGCATCTAGTGGGAAGAGGCCAGGGATGCTACTTAACTCTCTACAATGGACAGGACAGCACACCTCAACAAAGAAGTATCTAGAAATGTCAGTAGCACCAAGGTTGAGAAACCTGGTGTTAGAGTAATAATTTTTCCTCTCATGGAATCTGAGCCTTTATATAAAAATACCTTGTTTTGACCCTTGATTTGGGATAATTATCTACATTTCAAAAAGTATTTTTCTTTTCTTCCATTGTCTTCTCCACCCTACCCCCAAGTGAAAGCTTTTCTAGCACATTTAGGATCTGTCTGACCAGGAGCCACAAATTCAAATTACATGTAGCTTCTCCTTCTAAAACTTGTTTGAAATATATCAGCACTAAAATCCCATATTCAGGTTTTATTTTCTTTGTTTAGGACCTGACCTTAGTTTTAGAAAGTTTAGGTTGGAAGAGGACTCCATCAGGACTTGAACCCATAAACTATTTGTAGATTTATACTTTAGGACAGTTTGTGTGTTCCTTTTTGTCAAAGTACAGTTGACCCTTGAACAACAGTTTGCACTGTGCTGGTCCACTTTTACACGGAATTCTTTCAGTAACTACAGTATAGTACTGTAAATGTGTTTTCTGTTCCTTAAAATTTTCTTAATATTTTCTTTTTTCTTGGGGTGCCTGGATGGCTCAGTTGGTTAAGCGTCTGCCTTCGGCTCAGGTCATGATCCTGGAGTCCCAGGATCGAGCCCCGCATAGGGCTCCCCACTCAGCAGGGAGTCTGACCTTCCCCCCTCTCATACTCTCTCTTTCACTCTCTCAAATAAGTAAAATCTTGAAAAAAATACTTTATTTTTCTTGTTTACTTTATTGTAAGAATGCAGTATATAATACATATAACATACAAAATATGTATTAATTGACTGGTTATATTATCAGTAAGGCTTTTGGCCAACAGTAGTAGTTAGTTTTAGGGGGGTCAAAAGTTATACACGAATTTTCAACTACATGGGGGTTGGTGCCCCTAATCCCCATTGTTCAAGGGTCAACTGTACATCTTTTTATTTCTTTTGGATATATACCAAAGATCCCAACTGGAAGTCATTTAATATTAACCTGATTTTCTTTTCTTTTTTTTTTTTTTTAAGATTTTATTTATTTGTTTGACAGAAAGAGACAGAGAGAGAGGGAACACAAGCAGGGGGAGTGGGAGAGGGAGAAGCAGGCTTCCCGCCAAGCAGGGAGCCCTATGCAGGGATCGATCCCAGTACTCTGGGATCATGACCCAAGCCGAAGGCAGACGCTTAACGACTGAGCCACCCAGGCACCCCAACCCGATTTTCTTAGAGCCATTGTAGGACTAAGAGTTGTGTAACTGTCCACATTTTGGTTCTAGTGTTAATGTTTTGTGATGTTAGATTGTATTTTATTTAAGATTTTTCTAAATAAATCACTGTTTTACCTTTGGGAGTACTAAGATCAAAAATGGTTCAAATGACCAAGTCAAAGCCTATAGCCTCTTGTTTGGGTACTTAATAGAATCCAAAACTCTATACTTGTTCTGATGGAATACTTTTTTTTTTTCATTTGGGTAGTAGTATTGCAGAAGAATATTTGGAATTTTTGGGAAAAAATTTCTGGACTATTTCATATTTATATATGTATGTACCTTGTCCAATGGGAACATTTAAAGGAGTTTGTGGTATTTATTTTGTTCTGGATGGTCAGTTTTAAGTCTGGAAATATACTTAGATCCTCTGAGGTGATGTACATTTTAACATCACTATGTAAAGTTCTAGAGCTCTAGAGTATACTCTAAAATTCTTCGGTTCAGAAGATACATTGTATCCAGTACCATCCAATAGAACTCCCTGTGATGATGGAAATATTCTGTACCTGTGATGTCCAATATGGTAGCCACTATCCACATGTAGTTATTGAGCAGTTAGAAGTGGCTGGTGAGGCTGAGAAAGTAAACTTTTCATTTTAATTAATTTAAATTAATTAAATTTAAATAATCACATATGACTAGAGGCTACTAATTTGGACAGTGCAGGTATAGACAGTATTTTATTAGACATTTAATGCTATCAGCAGTACATTCTGAAAATGTCCTAGTCTTTAAATCTTACTTCAGAACTCTTAAGATATGCCATTATTAACTAACCTTTTGACATAAAAGAGTTGAATTATGCAGGAATCTGTATCTTCTAAATTGTGTGGATCCAGATTTATATTCATTTAGCACTAGAGCTCTATGTAAGAAAATGTTCTGTGTTCATGTCTAGTTATCCTCCGCAGTGTAGTGGTTATCACGTTCGCCTCACACAGTCTAGTTATTCTTTCCTACTTAGAGGTAGTTTGAATATAATACCTTTATTGAGATACAATCCACATACTATATGATTCACTCATTTAAAATATATAATTCAGGGTTGCCTGGGTGGCTCAGTCAGTTGAGCATCCGACTCTTAATTTTGGCTCAAGTCATGATCTCAGGGTCGTGAGATTGAGCCCCATGTCGCGCTATGCACTTGACGGGAAGTCTTCTTGAGGTTCTCTCTTTCCCCCTCCCTCTGCCCCTCTCCCTGCTCACATGTGCGCACGTGCACACATGCTCTCTCCCTCCCTCAAATAAATAAATCTTTAAAAAAATAACAAAATAAAAATATATAATTCAGTGATTTTTAGTGTAGTCAGAGTTACGCAACCATTACCATGATCAATTTTAGAACATTTTCATCAGAAACCCCATTGGCAGTGTGACTCCTCATTTCCTCCTAAAGTTTTAGTCCTAGGTACCATCAGTCTACTTTCTGTCCTATGAATTTGCCTTTTCTGGATATTTTGTATAAATAGAATCATGCAATATGTGATGTTCTGTGACTGGTTTCTTTCACCTAGCCTAATGTTTACAGGGTTCATCCATGTGATAACATGTATTATACCTCATTTCCTTTTTGTGCTAAATAATCTTCCATTGTGTGGATGTACCACATCTTATCCATTCCTCAGTTAATGGACATTTGTATTGTTCCTTCTTTTTGATTATTACAGTTAATGCTGCTATGAACAATTATGTACAAGTTTTTGTGTGGGGATATCTTTTCACTTCTCTTGGGTATATACTTAAGAGTGAAATTTCTGGGTCCTGTGGTAACCAGTGTTTAACTTTTTGAGGAACTGCCAGACTGTTTTCCAAAGTGACTGTACCACTTTACATTCCTACCAGCAGTGCACGAGGGTTCCATTTTCTCCACATCTTTGCTAACACTCGTTATTATCTATCTTTTTGATTATTGCCATCATTTTAGATGTGAGGTAGTATCTTATTTTAGTTTTGATTTGCTTTTCCCTGATGGCTAATGCAACTTACAGGTTTTAAACCTGTCTTTAAGCATTTCAGTCTTCAGGGGCGCCTGGGTGGCTCAGTTGGTTAAGCATCCAGCACTTGATTTTGGCTCAGGTTATGATCTCAGGCTTGTGAGATCAAGCCCTGCATGGGGCTCTGCATTGGATGTGGAGCCTGCTTAAGATAATCTCTTCCTCCGCCCTCACAAAAAAACCATTTCAATCTTCAGGTATCATGACTGCTTTTTTTTTTTTTTTTTTAAGTACGCTCCATGCCTAGCATGGAGCCCAATGAGGGGCTTGAACTCAGGACCCTGAGATCAAGACCTGAACTGAGATCAAGTGTTGGACGCTTAACCGACTGAGCCTCCCAGGCGCTCCTCATTACTGCTTTTTAATTGATATTTGTTTAGTATGGATTTACTTTAAAGTTTCACATCACCTCTTGGGGCACCTGGGTGGTGCAGAGTTGGTTGAGTGTCTGACTCTCGGTTTTGGCTCAGGTCGTGATCTCAGGGTTGTGAGATTGAACCCCACTTCAGGCTGTGTGCTCAGTGCAGAGTCTGCTTGGGATTCTCTCTCCCTCTCCCTCTGCCCCTCTCCCCGCCCCCCCCCAAGTGCGCATGCACGTGCATGCTCTCTCTCTTTCAAATAAATAAATGAATCTTTAAAGTTTCACATCTCTTAACAGGGGACCTGTTTTTGATTTGTGAAATATACATGGTATTGGGATCTTTGATTAAGAGAATACTTTCTCATTAGAAGTTACTGAAGTGTAATTCCAGTGGGCTGGCTAACATATATTGTGCTCATGGAGTTAGCGGCCTAGATATACTTTACCAATTCTGACTTGGTAGTCTCCATACCTATATATAATAAAAGAGCATATTCAGAAGTGGAAATACAAATATTTTTGAGTGTCTGTTGGTGGGCAAGAAAGGGTTGATATTTTAGAAAATATTCTGAGGGTTAAATATTTCTTAAGGATGCTTTGAATTTTCTATACCTTGGATTCTTCTCTGGTTGAATTTTTACTTGAAAAGGGCATAGAATAAGGTGTTTCACTCTTTCTTACCTGTCATCCCTTTCCTTTGAAATCCTTTTTCCTGCTATACTTTAAGGATGTCTTTTGGGATAAGCAAGCTAAATTAATACAAGGTCATAGATTTGCTGCATTTCTGTATAGAATGCCTGTAAAGATACCTTTGATTGCAACTGAAAGGGGTTCTCTCATTTGGGGGGAGTCCTTAAACCAACCCACTTCATGTTGGTTGCAACCCAAATCAATGTCACCAGCATTTTGACTACTTAAGGTGTGAATTTTTGTATATTTTTACATATTTAAAAATGCATATAGCTTATACAAATCTTGGGTTTTTAGACCACCAGGAACCTTTGGAGATCACTTAGTCTTAACCTGTAACTGTATAAATCAACTGAGGTCCATAGAGGAGACATAATTTGCCTAAGAATATGGCTCATTTTACACACAAACACCCCTCCCACATCTTCTTTTATCCATTCATCTATCATTGGACATTTAGGCTGCTTCCATATCTTGGCTATTGTAAATAATGCTGCAGTAAACATAGGCATACACATATCTTTTTGAATTAGTGTTTTCATTTTCTTTGAAGATGGAAGTGGAATTACTGGATTGTATGGTTATTTCTATTTTACTTTTTTTTAAGGAACCTTCATACTCATGCTCCAGTTTGCATTCCCATCAGCAGTGCATGAAGGTTCCTTTTGCTCTGTGTCCTTGCCAACACTTGTCATTTCTTGTCTTTTTGATGAATAGGTAAAGAAGATGTGTGGGTGTGTGTGTACATGTATATACATACACAACGGAATACAACTCAGCCATAAAAAAGAATGAACTTTGCCATTTATGACAACATGGATGGACCAAGAGCATAGTATGCAAAGTGAAATAAATCAGACAGAGAAAGACAAATACCAAATGATTTTACTTATATATAGAATCTGTACATTTTTTAAAAAGATTGTTTATTATTTGAGAGGGAAAGAGAGTGCACAGAGGGAGAGGAGAGAGAGAAGCAGACTCCCTGCTGAACAGGGAGCCTGACTTGGGGCTCGATCCCAGGACCCCGAGATCATGATCTGAGCCAAAGGCAGATGCTTAACTGACTGAGCCACCCAGGCACCCTTTTACTTATATGTAGAATCTAAAAAACAAACAAAAAACAAAAGCAGATGCATAAATATTAGAGAACAAACTGGTGGTTGCCAGAGGGGAGATTGGGGTGGCATTGGCAAAATAGGTAAAGGGGATTAAGAGGTACAAACTTCCAGTTATAAAATAAATAAGTTACAGAGGTGAAAAGTACAGCATGGGGAAGACAGCCAATAATATTGTAATAACATTGTATGACAGATGGTGTGTGGCAGATGGTGGCTACATTTAGCGTGGTGAGCACTGAGTAATGTATAGAATTGTCAAATCACTGTGTTGTACACCTGAAATTACCATAACATTGTATGTCAACTATACTGTAAAAAAAAGAATATGGTTAATTACATAGGTAACGTACCTTGAGTACTTGGACAGTGTTGAATGAATAAATGTATACTGAATTGATGACAGAGCTGAGGCTGGACTCTGGGCCTCTTGACTCAGACTGATGTTTTTCCCTCCTATTAAGCCATGTTCCAGATAGTACAGATTTTGCTAGTTGTACTATAGAAACCCAAAAGAAAACAAATGTAAATAACCCAAGCTTCTTTTCTAACATTATCTTTGAAATATTTACAGCTGAAGGCAGGTACAATCTCTACACAGCAGATGGCAAATACATCTTCAAGGAAAGAGAATCATTTGATGGGCGAAACATTTTAAAGGTCAGTACGTGGCAGGGTGAATTGGAAATCCTTTGGCATGTGTCCGAAAATAAGAGAGGAAAACAAGTCGTTCTCCTTTTAACAATAAAGTATATTTTTCTCATGCTTCTCATGAGGATCATTGATTCAAAGGTCTGGCCAAAAAAAAAAAAAATTATTTTTTAATGTCCTAAAGGAAGAGAAATCTTTTTGAATCTGTTGAAGCTGTGATATCTCTTAGAGTACTTGAAATTGGTGAGTTCAGAAACAAGTACCCTGAGTACACGGACTCAGGAATACGTTGATTTTAACCTGGTGAGTTTTACTCTGTATTTTACCTCTGGAGGTCTGAGTTTGCAATTTTTCTTTTTTAAGTGAAAAAGAATTGTTTGTTTTGTTCTAGTAGACTTTTTTCTTCACCCACAGTCCCTCTCTAAAGTTGCTTTGTAATCTGTTTTTACTCAGGAATAGCCCATGTTCTGAAAAGTAGGTGGTCTCTTTCTGACAGTTGAGGCTTTGCTTCCTGAGTGTTAAATTAATCTATGAAATTTCCATAAAAAGGGTTCTTCAGGATTGCATTTATGTTTCTCCTACAGACCACGTTCTGTAATATCCATGATTTATGCCGCCTCTGTCAGGTTAGCATGTCATTGTGCCTCTGGGCAAATGGAAACAGAAGTTGATACAACGGAGGGGTTTTGGATTCTTCATTTCACTTGTTCTGTAATGGTTTAGGTCATACCTTTTTTTTTTTTAAGATTTTATTTATTTATTTGACAGAGAGAGACACAGCGAGAGCAGGAACACAAGCAGGGGGAGTGGGAGAGGGAGAAGCAGGCTTCCCGTGGAGCAGGGAGCCCGATGCGGAGCTCGATCCCAGGACCCTGAGATCATGACCTGAGCTGAAGGCAGACGTTTAACGACTGAGCCACCCAGGCGCCCCTAGGTCATACCTTTTCAAGGCCATACATTTTTTGGAGCTGGGAGGAGAGTGTATGTATATAACTTCAGAATAAGCTTTAGCTTTAGAAATGCTTTTTCTTTTTCCTTCCCCACCCCATCCTCCATTGCCTTATCTGGTCACTTGGCATTTTTCTTGCAAAATGCCTAATGTGACCCCATTACCTCTAATGACATCACTTCAGCAGCTGCAAACTTCTTACCGCAGAGCCCGGCCTGACAGTGACCGGATTCCCTCTTAGGCAGGCATTCAGGCTCCTGCCCTGCAGAGCTATGTCAATTTCTTCTTTTCCTTGCTATCTTTCCTCTTTTTTGAGTGCCCCTCTTGTTGTATGGTAGCTTTGGTTTGAGTGGCAAGCTGCTAATGAATTCAGCTGTAGTTTACTGATTTTCCCAGGCCCCTAGCTTCAGTGTGATATGAATCTTTCTCCTCCTCCATCTCATTTCCTGGGGCTTTTCCAATAATAGCATTAATCACTTTGCTTTTTTGTTGTTGTTGTTAATTTGATTAAGAAAGAAAGTAGACCAAATGGGGAAAGAAATCTGTAGGAATGACTCAAGCCACCTTGATTCTTTTGGAATCAGAATTAAAGCTCTGAAGGTGTGCTGATGAAAGTCAAGTGTGAGGTGCCGGGCCATCTGTAAGAGGGAGGTGATGGCAGAGAGCGTGTGACATGGCTGCAGGAACGGTAGGGGTCTCTCGCCTGATACTTCGTTTCTCTCACTCTGGAGAGCCAGTCTTCCAATTTAAAGATGCTTTGCTTCGAAGTCTTCCTCACCACCCCAGTAATGACATGGGTGCAGCTCCCTCTAGTGTTAACAAGGGCTTGCTATGTTAGTAGTACCCTTACCGGTTCATGCCTCCTCAGAGTTCTAGAGCTGGGCTCAGCCAGGGACTTCCAGACCATTTAATCCACTTTCCCGCTTCGGTCTCTCAGGTCACAAGATCCAGTGTGGTTAAAGCAATTTGCCAAAGGTTACTGCTAGTTAGTGGCAGAGTCTGAATCAACAAAAAGATTCAGATCACAGGGTTAGCATTGTTTCTGTTGCCTCCCATAAAGATGCTTCGTGTTTAGGTAGAGATCATTAGGTATTTGAAGTTGGGCATATCTGTTTGAACTGTGATAAAGTCTGATTAGAAGTCATTTCGTAAATGTTGGGGCAATGGTGTGTGCCAGTTAGTCTAAATCCATAGCTAATTAAGAATTAGACTTGAATTGAATGCAATACTAACGTACCAACAGAAGTACTTATTGAGTGTATACCATCTGCCAGAGCATGTGCCCTGCAGATAAAACAGTCATTATGATACAGTCCCTACCTTCCAGGAGCTTCCTGTCTTTGAGGAGTACAGATGGTTAATAGGCAATTACAGTACAAAATGATGGGGGTGAGTTGTGAATATGGAGAAGTCCCTTTGAACACAGATAGAACAAAGTGTGCTTTGATACAGTGTCCAATATTTTACCTTTTAATCATTAGCTGCAGAAAATGTAAGCTTTCACCTACATTCGGTCAAAGGAATTCACTTTTCTTTGAGAATAAAGGTAAAACATGGCCTCCAACAATTAGCCATGCCCAAAGGCAGAAGAGGTAATAATTGTGTTTGTGAAGTAGCTATAGTAGCCCACCTTTTGGAATTACCATGAATGAACATGCCTTTCTCAATTAGAACATGAGAACCCACGGGCCCAGAAACCCTTGGGGAGAAAAAGATTCATAAAAACCAATGAATCATATATGTAGTTTTATACCAGATAAAATTATTATGTTTAGAAGGAGAAAACATCAATTTCACTAACAAGATAGGAACTGACTTGGAGAAGACCGAAAGGTTAACTGCACTGGTTGTTCAGGAGGCCAAGCATATGTGGGTAGCATATTAACAGCTGCATAGGTCAAGGATCAGGAATGCTGGTGATGAGAAGCAGCCTTGGAAAAAAATCAACTTCATCTACTATTCAAAGAGAAACAAAATGAGAAAACAAGTCATTGCTCATTGCTGTAGGAATTTAATAAGTAACAGCCAATTGCTATTCTACTCCATGAAGAGAATCGGTCCTTTTGGCTTGATGGAATATTATGTGTTCTGGGTGCCTTAATAAGAAAGAGAAAAAGTCTTTAATGACTTTGGGAGGTAGAAGCCACGTTTTTCTTTTGTACTGCTCTTTTGAGAGTTGTTGCAGCGGTAATAGACCAGCATTGGGTTATTCCTAGCTAAAATAAGAATTTTCTTACCCTAAGAAGGACTTTGGAAGAACTGACAACTAAAGAATTACTGTCCTGTGTTTTTTGAACCAGAAAAGGAACATATTTAGTTATGGTGGGTTGTGAGGGAAGACTGACAGCTCTGAAAGGAGAATGTACAAGGGAAGAAGACCTAGGCCAAATTCAGAGGGTAGTGTCCCCTCAGAGAGTTTCTATTTCTGATCTAAGAAATAGGAACAAAGATGTTGTTTGTTTATCCGTAAGGCAGTGATAAACTTGAAATTGGAGAAACCATGCCGACCTAAAGACACGCTGCTAGAAATTACTGCCCCCTTGCAAGTAGGACAGTCAGTCCTGCCAGCTTCGGAGAGAGAGGTGGTCTTAATGGCAGTCTGTTTGGGGGCCCTCCGAGCTGGCCTTAAGCCGTAGAATGACTGTTCCAGACCTGTACTCTCAGCACATTGAACACGAGCATGGTGTTAACTGTTCGAAAGCATAGCTTCTAACTGCAGAGTGAAGAAGAGTTTTCAGAGCCCTAGCTTGTACTCACCAGAGGAGGTGGTATCATGCAAATAAAGGCACAGTTGATGTATTTGGGAAGGAATAGAAAGAAAGTGCTGTAGGTCCAGAATCTAAGGACACCATGAAAGTGCCATTTCTTTAGACACTTAAAAATCCTGGAAAATATAAACCAAGTAAAAGGGAGATGAATTTGTGCCTTTTTTATTTTATATATAGGAATCTTTAAATTTAGAGAAAGAGGGAATGGGTGCTATTAAACCGTATTAAGTTTTTTTAAAGATTTATTTATTCATTTTGGTGGAGGGAGAGAGAGAGCAGAAGCAGACTCCCTGCTGAGTACGGAGCCCCAACGTAGCCTGATCCCAGGACTCTGAGATCATGCCCTGAGCTGAAACCAAGAGTCTGATGCTTAACCAACTGAGCCACCCAGGTGCCCCTAAACCGTATTAATTTTTAATACTTTACTTGGAAATATGTTTTATTCTAGCCACATTGTGACTTTTCTCGAAAGCTGTAAATGATAGTAACTCAAATATTTCATTCATTTTTGCTTTTGTTCTATCTCTGCCCCTGAACATCTTTACAAAAGGACAGGTAGAATAAATAAATTTAAGGGAGATCTTTATTTAATTTGCTTAAGGAAGCTATTTAAAAATATGTACTATTTTATCATCTTTGGTGAAACATACACATAGAAAAGTGCATGAAATATATATATATATATATATACTGTTTAACAAATAATCAGGAAGTGAACAGTGAAACTACTACCAAGGTCAAAAAGTAGAACATACCTCCCTTGTCCCCCCCTGGCCAACTCCAGTTTGTTTGTCCTGAGGTAACAAAGTCACAATTAAATTCTTAAAACACTTGCAGTGAAGATGCTTGTTTTGAGTGACTACTTTGTTTCGGAGTATTAGAAGAGTATTGAAAAGCTGAATTCATTTTTGTTTTTTTCTAGGGAAGAGAAGTGAGATTAAGAACTATATAGTAATTTTTTTAAAAAGGATATTAGGAGCACCTGGCTGGTTCAGTCAATAGAGCATGGGACTCTTGATTTTGGGGTTGTGAGTTTGAGCCCCCTGTTGGGTGTGGAGCTTACTAAAAAAAAAAAAAAGCAAACATTGATGACTACAAAGAGAGTCTAGTGTTTAGAAACTGTATTTATTTCTTCTTTAAAAAATATTTATTTATTTTAGAGAGTGCTCCAGCATGCACATGCGAGAGTGGGGGAAGGGCAGAGGGAGAGAGAGAGAATCTCCAGCAGACTCCCCTGCTGACTGCAGAGCCTGATGGGCTCAATCTCACCACCTTGAGATTATGACCTGAGC